CAGGAAGTGGACTCTGACCCTCAGAGACTGAGTTTCCTGCCAGGAGTTTATCAAAAGGTCCCCAGAAATCAGTGTCTGCCAGAAGCTAGAACAGCAGGAGGAATTTGCTAGGCAAGCTCCCAGGGAGCTCTGGAGCCAGAATGGCCCCAGGCTGAGAGGGCCACAGGCCTCATACCCCGACGTGGAACGGTGGCTGGACGGAGCCCCCCTGGGAAGGCCTGCCCTTGGGGACATGGGTCTCTACAGCAGAGGTGCAGTGGACAGAAGGAATCGGCAAATGCTTATAGAAATGTATGGAGTCTTAATTTGCATAAGCACTTCTAATTTAGAAATTAGACTAAGAAATTCCATTTCCAATCCTGCAGTTTAACTCCAGGAATACACTTTCTGCCAGAACTTACTACAAAGAGGTTTAGGTTTGCAGGAATAAATGACTTTCTTCTTTCTTTCCCTTCCTTCCTACCTCCTTCCTAATTCCTTCCCTTCTTCCCTTCATCCATTTCTTTTTCCTTCCCTTTCTTCCCTTCTCCTTCCCTCCCTCCCTCTCTCCCTTCCTTCTTTCTTTTTGGTGTGATGGATATTTTCTTGGAAATGTGTGTCAAATAAGTCGGGGTAGGTCAAGTTAATGAGACCTGCAATAAATCCTGATATATAAAAACACTGGAGAATGTCATTCACACTCAGATATGATCTTCCATATATACCTAACTTCTATAAGTGTAATTAACATGTAATTAATTTATTTACATGTAATAGTGTATGTTAAAATGTAAAGAGAAAACTAGAGGGAAACGTGGAGTTCCACTTACCTGCATGGGGAGCACCGCCCCTTGGGTGAGCAATGCCTGCAGCAGAGATGAACCCATGGGAGCCGCTAGAAAAGGCGTGGTGCTGGAGCAGGAGTAAGAGCGAGGGAAAGACCACAAAAGTGGATGCAAAGTCAAGGTAGGCAGGTGGCAGGGGGAGGTCAAGGCCTCTGAGACCAATGCCCAGCGAAATGTGGAGGAGACTCCCCATCGCAACCGGAAGAAAGTGTTAAATGTTTAGTGCAACTGCTTCCTCTTCTATCAGGAGAGCAAATCCAGAGAGAAGCGCTCTACCATTAGGCATATTCCAAATCCACAACTGCCTGCAAGAATGGCCAGACATGATACGAAACCTCGAATTCCTGGAACTTTCAGGGGCAGTTCCTTCACTTCTGACCCTATTCCACTTTGGCCACTTCCCACTAAAGGACAACGGGGAGGAAGATGCCCCTCTTGCTTGTCCTTTTATCTAGGGAAGAATGAATGAACTCTATTACATGCCTGAGAAAAATCTTTTCCCAAATCAGGTGCTAAGAAACCTGTTGTGAACAGTGCTGACAGTAAGCAGAGGTCAGCACGCCTGGTCCTGCACATCCACACCTGGACTAGCTCCTTGCACATGACACCTGAACACCACGATGGGACCAGCACGCCCGTCCTGCACATCCATCCGCACCTGATGTGGCACCTTCGATGCATCACCCTGGACATTTTTTTTAAATACTGGGAACATTTCTCCAATGACAGGAATGTGCAGGGATCAAATGAAACAGATAATGATGACCTGGCATACCCTGGGAACAAAGACAAGTGACTTTCTCTAACCTGGGCCTTGAGATAAAGAGAAAAGGATGAGGAATTTCCCAGGTTGGGTTAGATGGGAACGATGGGTGGAAGGGTAAAGACGATAGAGGAAAGTGGGGTGTCCCAAGCCCCAGCGACATGTGCAAGGACCTGTCGCAGCACATCGCATCTTCAGGACCCCAAGGTGCAATTCGGTGTGGCTGGAGAATACTGCTCTATCAAAATTCAAAGCTTAAGTCAGATAAAAGGATCAAAAGACACACACCAGGTGGACTGAGAAGGATGGGGGAACACAGTGAAATGCATTAAGTGAAAAGGGAACTTACTCATTAAAAGTCTTCCTTTCTGAAAGCTACTAGTGCTTTAGAAACCAAAGGATTTCAAACAAAGTATGATTAAGATCTATATCCAATAGTCTAGCAACGTACAAAACACGCCAACATTAGTTTTTAAGAAAATACAGGGCCAGATGTGGTGGCTGACGCCTGTAATCCCAGCACTTTGGGAGGCTGGGGTGGGCAGATCACCTGAGGTCAGGAGTTCAAGACCACCCTGGACAACATGGTGAAACCACCATGTTTACTAAAAATACAAAAAAATTAGCCAGGCATGATGAAGCATAACTATAATCCCAGCTACTCAGGAGGCTGAGGCAGGAGAATAGCTTGAACACAGGAGGCAGAGGTTGTAGTGAGCAA